CATTTACAAATTACAGAAGATTTATTTTAAGGAATCCACTTCCTCACTGGCATGCAAACAGAATATGACAAGAGACCAACACCACTCTTAGGGAAACAGCATGTTGCCTTCATGAACTTGGGCATCCCACTGTCACTTAGGTATCAGAAGGTAGAGCAAGCTCAGCCCTGCCGCTTCCCAGCTGAACGGTTGGAGGCAGGGCACTCAAACTCTTCAGCTTCAACTTCAGCTGAAAAGTGGAGGTCGTTGCCCAGGAATGCAGGAGAAAGTGCTTTAGAAACCACACTGTACTTTATTAATAATAGAGATTGTGGGGACACCTTGAGAGGAGCGGCGGGGGGAGGGGGTGAAACTCAAGTCTCCCTACTGGTTAGAATGGAGAAAAGGAACAAGAGTTTTTCACTAAAGGCCAAAAGCTGTGTAGCATGCATCAGAGGGGCACCGGCTTCTTTTCTACACTGAGTGTAAGGGTGGGAGCTTGGGCAAGGCTTACACTTGGCGAACCCACCCTTATAGCCAAGGGCAGACAAAAAAAGCTGGAGGGAGTACAAGGCGTCCCCTAGAGACACAAACCAGAACACAACCAGTGGGTGTCATCTTAGGGCCAACTATTGGCAGCCTTGTTGCGGACCCTAAAGGTTTGGAAATAGGTGTGATATACTTCTTATTGTATTATTCCCAGGAGTCCCAGGCTCACTGACTAGGAGGAAACATGAGGCCATAATGAATTAATCCTCCAGCCAGTGGCTGGCCACTCCTGGCCATCTCATGCTCACAATCTAGGCATCAAGTGCTCAGAGGCCTCTTGAAATGTATCAACAAAAAGGCAGACTGAAAGGGGGCCCCACGATGAATATTCCAGGGAGCTAACCAAGGACATAGAAAGCTGGGTCCTAGAAAACCCAAGCACTAGCTGCAGGCCTGACACTACTTCTGTGGGAAAAAAATTGCATGGTAGATAACTGCCTTCCTTTTCCTACCTGGAAGATGGGCGTAACATCTAGACCCAGAGATGAAAGCATGGGTGTCTCATCCAACCCATGTATTTCACAAAGGAAGAAACTGAGACTTGGGAGGTGAACTGAGAAGCTCAAGAGTATTCAGCTAGTGAGTATCCAAGACAGACTAACATCCAGATCGTGACCCCCACATTAGAGCTCCTTCCACCCAACTGTTTTGTATGAAAGCAAACCCCTCCAGGAAAGACAGGAGCTGGCTGAAGGGGGTTGCTTTCATACAATCAATATCACTTCTCGATCATTCTGCCGGTTTCAAAGGAAGATGCCAGGGAAAAGGACATCTATAGCCTACAGACCAAGTCCACCTGGGCACGTCAAGATGTCCCCCGCCCCCGTATGGTTTTAAGTGGGTTTTCAAGCTTGAGGTTAGTGAGCAATCCTAGGATGGTGACGAAGATCCATCTAGAAGCCCGAGAGAAGGCAAATGATACCGACAATGAAAAGCGAAAAGGGAGACCACGTAGGAGCCCTTCTGATGGAAAGCCCCAGCCCCTTCCCTGGACCACAGTCCTGCAAGTTAAGGACAACGACCTAGGTTTTTGTTTTTGTTTTGTTTTGGTTTTTTTTGAGCTAGAGTCTCACTCTGTCGCCCAGACTGGAGTGCAGTGGCCGCTCCCGGCCACCACAGCCTTGACCTGCTGGGCTCCGGCGATCGCCTCAGCCTTCCAAGTAGCCGGAACTACAGGCGCGCGCTACCATGCCCGGCTGATTTTCTGATTTATTGTAGAGATGAGGGCTCGCCAAGTTGCCCAGGCGGGTCTCGAACCCGTGGGCTCAGGCAATCCATTCACCTCAGCCTCCCAAGGCGTGGGATTGCAGGCTGAGCTACTGAGCCCGGCTGACCTAGGTTTAAAATGCAGTCACAAGGGGTCCCACAGGGGTTTAATAATGCTCTGCTGTCACGGTTTGAAATTCTTAATAACTTATGAACAAGGGGCCTGGTATTTTCATTTTGCATTGGGTCCCTCAAATCATGTGGCCAGCGCTGCTTCCTCCCCAAAAGCCATAAAGGGGTGTTTTGTCTACACCACCTCTCAGTCTGGAAGAATGGGACCAAAGGAAAGCCCTGCAATTTGTACCCCATCTACCGCTTGGCTTGAGGCGGAAGAGAACGCTAAGGGAAAGATCGGGGGGCAGGAAGATGCCTGCAATCTCGGGCTTCTAACCGGGGGCCTTTTCCAGCCCTGGCAAAATAGATGCCGACATTAGAATGTCCCTCCATCACAGCCCCCCCCTAAACCTAGCGCTGCCGGAATCTTAGGCTCCAAGGGGCGCTCCTGCCCTCCCTGCTCTGGAGGAAGGCCTCCCACGCTGCAGAAGCGGCGACGTTCTCACTTCGGACGGGCAAGTCAGTCGAGTCGCCGAGACTCAGTTTGCCTGTGGGGAAAAATGGGAACGTGCGGATCCTCCACCAGCTGTGGAAAGCTGACAGAGGGAGCCGCGCCCCCAGCAGGGTGCACTTCCGCTTTTCCAGGCCGTGTCGCTGACGCCTAGGCTGAGGGAAAGTTTGGGGACTTGTAATTGGAGGGAGGTGCTCTTGGCCAGGAGGGTGACCAGGGCCGCGACTCCGGGGACCGTGAGTCCGGTGGGCAGAGAGGCGAGCCACCCAAACTCGCGAGCCGTGAGGCGGGTACGCGCCTGTAAACTCTGCGCCTCGATGCAGGACGGGGTGGGGCCGCGGCGGGGGAAGGGGCGGGGCCGCGGCAAAGGGGCGGGGTTCCGGTGGAGGCACTCGGCCCGCTGTGAGTCCATAAATAAAGTATCAACGAGAGTGGTTTCCGCGGAGGTTCCATAGTGTAGTGGTTATCACGTCTGCTTTACACGCAGAAGGTCCTGGGTTCGAGCCCCAGTGGAACCACGCTGAAAAGGTCTGTTTTTCAGTATTTCTCAAGTGTCCGGGTTCAAAAAAAGAAAAACCGAAAGAAGGTGCTTTTCTTTCTCCTTTTTTTACTTTTTAAAAATTTTAGCAAGTTTTTATCGCAGAAGCGAAATGACAGACACCCCTTCCTATCCCAAAAAGTCGTTGACTCAATCGTCCGACCGAGAAATAGGGAAGGGTGGTGGCCAGTCTAAATCGTAGTCTTGAGGGTGCCTCGGGCCCAGCGGAGACCTACCCTACCTGTCCTCCCGGTACTCCGGGCGGCCTCGGAAAATCGAGCGCTGGTAAGAAACATCCGGCTCGGCCCTTTGCCCGCAAGCCAGGACGGGCCAGCCCCCACCTAAGCCTCCAGTTAAGATGCGCGGCAATACAGCAGCGCTTCGACTACAGTTTCATTGTTAAAGGTTTATTATGGTTGTGCTTAAAAGTTTAATTTTTCATTAAACTCTAAAATACAGAGCAGGAAAAAAAAAACCATAGTCCTTTTTAATAGAGGAGTGGGGTTTGTGGAACAGACATTCATCTGTTTAATGAAGAGTTCATACACAATATTGAATAAATGACAGGCTTGTAGACACCCAATAAATACCGGTTGCGTGAACAAACGTTCCTCTTGTTCCCTCTTGTTCCTCTTTACTATTTCATTACAGTTTCGGTTTCGTTGTTTGTTTGTTTTATTTTTTTCCCCTTTATTTTATTTTACAGATGTGGGGTACACGTCAGGATTAGGTACATAATTGGTCTACGTGCAGAGGAAATATGGGCCTCTCACTGGTCCTCAGTTCCTCTGGTTTAGATTCAGGTACCCTTACTGATGTTATGTGACCCCTCCCTACCCCTCCCCTGGGAGTGTCCCGCTACTGCTAATCCCTCTCTTGTAGTATTGTGATGAATGTTCAGGACTCACTTATGAGTGATTTTTTTGTTGTTGCCTTTTTCATCTTTGACAAGAGGAATGAAGGAAGGGTGTCTGGGGCCCTGGAGCCTGAGGTTGTAGTCTGGGATGGGATGGTGGTGGCAAAGAACAGAAAGGGGAAGAGAAGCTCAGTATTTTCCTCTGCATTTTTCAACATAGTTTTGCATCTTTTGCAGTGTATAAATTTGCATCTTTTTCTAACTCAAGAGCATAACTCTTTCCCTGTTATTACAATCACTTCATCGACTTTATTCTTCTTTTTTAAGCCACTTTAACCATTTTTAAGTATACAGCACAGTAATGTTAAGTATATTCACATTGTTGTGAAACAGATCTCCAGAACTTATTCATCTTGCAAAACTGAAACTCTATACCTATTAAACAACTCCCCTATTCTCCCATCAACTTTATTCTTAATAGCAATGTAATAACAGCTAATTATATCTAGCACTGTTCTAAATAGTTTGTATATATCATCCCATTTAAGCCTCAAAATAACTCTATGAAGTAGGCATTATTTTCATCATCCTCCAGATGAGAAAATTGAGGCACAAAGACATCAATGACTTGCCCTGAGGTCACAGTACAACGAGTGGTAGTGCTGGGATTAGCATCCGGTCTAGCTTGTCAGTGTTCTTAACCCTGCCTGGCTGTGACCTCTGCTAATTTACTTAACCAGTCCCCTAACCTTGGCCATTTAGACTGTTTCCAACTTTTTCTTATTATAAGTAACACAGCAATTTACATCTCTGCGTGTAATGCCTCCCCACCACCACATTTAGAATTTTCCTGATAGGTGTGAACATGATGCCTAGTAGCTTTCTAAGACAGGAATTTATGGCATTTTCATATAATTCGAGAATGTTAGAATTTATTTCTCAGGAAATTGTTCAAGGTCACCCCCTAGAAGATGATAGCAGAGAAAGGATTAAGAGCGGAGTCTTCTGATTCTAGTCCCTATTTCCCTCCATTACTTCCCTTGCATTTAAAGATAAAATGACACCAACATCTTCCTTGCTAACCCAGTCGCAGTGGACACTGGTATCTTCTGGGAGACCTCCTTGTTGAGGCGGGTAACTATGTGGGTTAACTTGATGGGGCTCAACCGAAGACCTAAAATCTAAATAGATAAGATGCTTAATGAGGCCAGTGCTCAAGTTAATCCCCTGCTCCTGGCCAAGCTCTCCACTTCACTAAAGTAGAGCTTCGGCCAAGGACGAGGGGAAAATGCCACGCAAGATAGAAGGCTTTTTGTTATTGCTTCTCTTTGGCTATGAAGGTATGTGCTATTCAACCATTGACATTCATTACATACTTAATAACATAAATTGATTAATAATATCATTGATAAATGGGAATATAGCTTGAACAATAAAAACATTATTAATTATCAACACATGTTAACTAATTAACATGTGTTATTAATGAACAACAGTCATCTCTGTGTGGATGAGGTCCTCTTTGTCTTGCCACTGGCTTTCCAGTACTGTGAGGAGCCTTCTAATGTTCAAAGTATGCTTAAAATCTGACAGAAAGAAGGAAGGGTCTCGGAAATTGTATAAAATAGCTATAAATTGCTACAATTAATGAGAAAATATGGCATATTCTTGACAACGTTTAGGAGTCAAAGTGACAGTGATTGTAGAATTTAATCTTTCAAACCAGGACGCTATTGAGAGTGGAGGAGGATGCTATTAATAATTCTGCTGGAACAACAGGTGTAAACCAGGACTGTCCAGGGCAAATTGGGACATAGGGTCACCCTAGTTTAAATATGGATTAATGTCACGCGCCGAGTACCACTGGAATCTAATAAAAAGCATAATCCAGCTGAGAGTCAGGAAACCCCAAAGACTCAATACACTCAATTATTTTTACATTTCTAAATATGGCCCTAGCAGACGTGATTGCTTAAATAAGAAAAAAAAAGGGCAAATCTCTTAAATGTTATCCAATTCAAATGTAAATTCTCCGTCAATCTTTGAAATAATATTCTTTCAAGCCTCTCTCAGTTCTCAAGTACTCATCCACTTTCTTCTCAGAGTCATTCAGACATTAGAAATTGATTGACCGTCTTCTTTGTGGTCGTTGTGTATTTGTGTGTGTTACAGGAAATAAAAAGGAGGGGAAGGAGGAGGAGGCCTCTCTGCTCTGAAAATGATGTGGTAGACAGACACGAGGAAATTCACACAAGTAGAATCCAAACTCCTGGTTCCAGTCATTCTCCTTTCTACCCTCATCCTATATTTTATTGGTACAATACCTGCTTTCATGAATTCCCAGTCTCATGACTTTTGTTAGTCACATTCCTCAATATTTGGAGAGCCTTGTGAAAATATAACCTGCAGGTCATTCTGCAAACCCCAAAATATATTTCTAAGTAGGAATCATTTTGACCAACTGTCTGTTTTTCCCCCTTGCAATTAATAGTCAGCAACTTGCCCAAGTAACTCAATATTTTTTTTTTTTTTTGAGTTGGAGTCTCACTCTGTCGCCCAGGCTGGAGTGTAGTAGCATGATCACGGTTACTGAAGCCTCAACCTGCTGGACTCAGGCGATCATTCCAAGTAGCTGGAACTACAGGCACGCACCAACACACCCTGCTACTTTTTTGATTTATTGTAGAAACAAGGAGGTCTCACCAGGTTCCCCATGCTGGTCTCGAACCCCTGGGCTCAGGCAATCCTCTTGCCTCTGCCTCCCTAAGTGCTGGGATTACAGGTGTGAGCCACCACACGCGGCAACTGTTAATACTTTAAGATGCTTTTGGGGTTTTGTTGTTTTTCTTTTACTCCTTGCCCTTTCCCCAGTGAGAAAATCTAAGCAGAGCCTTTGAAGGCTTAGATCCAAATACCCCCTGGTTCTCAGACATCAACAGGGCTTCCCTTCAGATTTCTCTTATTTGTGATTGGCATGGAGAGTCATTCATTCATTTATTTGTCTGTTTGTTTAAGAGCCCATCCTTGAGTGTCTGCTATGAGACAGACATGGTATAAGAACTTGACATGCAGGACAGATCCTTGTTGCTTTCACAGTGCAGAGTCTAACAAAACTCTGCTCCTTGACCCCCAAAATAAAAAAAGTCCTATAAAAGTTTACCAATGCATTTTTAAATTAGAACTGCCCATTTGTTAGATATTGGTAATAAAAGGCCATCAGAAGGCACAGAGGATAGATAGCACTCCTTCCTGTTCTAGAGTTTACCAATCTCAGTGCATGGCTGGGGAGCTCCAGAAATGTCCATAAAGAGGAGGGGCTATCATCTGTCCAGGTGGCATGGAATGTGGCCCAGTGGGAAGGCTTGGGGACCTTCAATTCCCTTACATGCCTAACCAAGACCCTCTGCCCTTAACAATGCTTAGAAGGAAACCACCAGCCAGAAACAGCCAGTGTGGCTTGGCGATTCGCTGCGTGCTCTCCCTGAGCAAGAGGAATGCTACAGGAGACAGAGGAAACAATGCAGGACTCAATCGCTGCACTTAATCAGCATATAATTTAAATGGAGATGCATGAGGCCACCACACATGGGAAAGATACATTCCATTGTACACCTGGGAACCTGAAGGCAAAGGTTCTTTGTCTAATTTACTCTCCATTGTTTCTGTTCTTCGGTGGCGGTGTCTCCACATGACAATGAAATAAGGTAAATGGGTTGACGTCACTTACATGTGGGATGAAGATTCATTTGGCAATGACACAGTTTCTCAGTAAGGCATGACCTACCTGTGTCTTATAACAGAATAGGCTTCTATTCATCTCAATTAAAAAGAAAACAGAGCCGGTCTCAGTGGCTCAGCCTGTAATCCCACGCTTTGGGAGGCAGAGGTTGAGTGGATTGCCTGAGCCCGCGGGTTCGAGACCGCCTGGGCAGCGAGACCTCATCTCTACAATAAATCAAAAAATCAGCCGGGCGTGGTAGCGCGCGCCTGTAGTTCTGGCTACTCGAAGGCTGAGGCGATCGCCAGAGCCCAGCAGGTCAAGGCTGCGGTGGCCAGGAGCAGCCACTGCACTCCAGTCTGGGCGACAGAGTGAGACTCCAACTCAAAAAAAAAAAAAAAGAAGACAGTATATTAGTCCATTGCACAACCTAATTTCCAAACATTTTCACCACCCAAAGTTAAACACTCACTCCCCATCCTCCCCCTTCCCATCCTCCCCCTCCCCAGCAACCCTTGGCAACCACAAATCCACTTTCTGTCTCTGTAGATTTGCCAATTCTGGACATTTCATTTAAGTGGAATCCTATGGCATGCAATCCTTTGTCTTTCGCTTAGCATATGTCTTTGAGGTTCATCTGTGTTTGAAGCATGTGGGGATAACAGATTTACCCATGAATATGCTTGTCGCCTAAAATAGTAACACTTTCACACTAGAAGCAATTTCCTTCTTTCTTCTTCACAAGAGGGCCATTATTGCAGCCTGCTGTGTCCCTCCTGTGTCTTATTCTTGTTTCCCAAGTAGATTGGAAGCTGGTTACAGACAGTTTTTTATCATTCATAATTTTATGCTTTTCTCCTCGGCTTCATCTGTTTCCATGGGAAAGAACACTCTGTATTTAGTGATAGCCAATCAAAAAGACTAAAATAGTCTTTCTTGTGTATATCTAATGGGTGCTTTTCCTCTTGGTCTTGCAGGAGACTTTTTGAGAACTAGACATGCCTTGAATTTTCTTGCTGTGGTAGCAAGAGTTTCCCCCGTGGAGTGGCCCTTTGGACCAAGGGGTAGAATAAGCCCATATTGCACAAATCTAACCCCATATTGCATAAATGTAAGCCCATATTGCATCAAGTGAAGCCCATATTGCAAAATGTAAGATTGGTGAGCAACAGACATCTCATGTAACATGTGGAGGAATCAGGGAAACAATCTGAGGGAGAAAAGTATGCAGCCACCTAATTGAAATCTTTTACCATTTTTCCTGTCGAGGCGATGCTTTTTCTTTTTCTCATTCCAACAATGATATTTTCTGGCATGATAATATGTTGCAGTCAAAAATGCTTTTGCTTTGTTCTCCAGTTTTTTGGTGATTAGATCATGGGGACGGGGCTACAGCAGCCACTCTGCTTCTCCCTTGGTGACAGCTTTTACTGTAAAATGCTTGTTGTTTCTTCTTCCTCTGCTCATTTCCATGAGGCTCTGGCACCTCAGAATCCCTGACAGTCTGCAGAAAAATGCCTGCTGGGAAGGGGGATAGGCATTAGCCCCAGAAGCTGATTGTGCCTTCCTGTTGTTCCTCTTCCTCTTCGTAGGTAGATTGTGCTGAGTCCCCCACCTTCCCTTTTTACCTTCTGCTCTGTTTCTGCAGAATATGGAAACTCCTTCGGATCCCACCCAGGGAGCCTGAGTAACGCAAAAGTCCCTGAAGGCCAATTTACTGAGCCTCCCTTGAACTCTGGGTTTGCTCATTTGCAGTGAATAGACCAGACCCTCTTCGGTGACAGACATGGCCTTTGATATGGTTATTAAATCAATTTGGTTTTTAAAGCTACGCTGTCAGTGCCCGAAACTCCTCGCCTTTGGTCCCCCCAAAATCGAGTCTTGGCACAATTGACGTCAGTCCAATTGACAGGACCTTTCAGAAACTCCCTCTCAGCCACTCCACTCCTAGCTTCTCTTGAGGATGGGGGTGGGGCAGAGTGCCTCCTAGATCAACAACCCCTAAGTCAACTAGCTCCTAATTATTCATTTACTTTGTATTTCTTGATGAACAGCTATAGCCCGAAGTTACAGGTTCATGTAGACATTAACTTCAAAGAATGCAGGGCACAGCCCAATCCTTCACCCCACCCTCCTCCTCTTCCCTGGAACCTTCTCTTGCTCAATAATCGGCAGCTCTATTCTCTCAGTTGCTCAGGCCTCTAACTTCTCTTTCTTTCACACCCCTCATGTAATCTGTCAGCAGACGCTGCTGACACTACTTTCTAAATATGGTCAGAATCCACGCACTTATCACCTCCACTGCCATAACCCTGGGCCACGCCACCATCATCTCCCCTGGATGACTGCACTCACCTCAAAACGGGACTCTCTATTGTCACCCTTGTCCATCTAGTCTACAACCCAGCATCAGAGGGACCTTTTGAAAACGTGGTCAGTTATGTCGCTCCCAGAGTCCTCACGTGACCCACAAAACCCTACAGAAACAGCCTTCCCCCCACCTTCCTCATCTCCTAAGACTCCGTGTCCTCTGGCTGTAGCCCCAGGGGCTCCTTGCCCTTTCTAGAACATGCCAAGCACACGCCCACCTCAGGGGCTTTGCACTTGCTATTCCCTCTGCCCAAAGTGCTTTGCCCATAGGTATCTTGCCTCCTCCAGGTCTTTGCTACAACATCACCCTCTTGGTGAAGGTTTCCCTACACCAGGAAGTACCAGTCCCTGTCCCCCACTTCCTTGCTTTATTTTTCTCCATAGCAGTCATCATCATTTTTCATACTATATATCACATTCATTTGTTTGTTCATTCATTACTTTATTCTCCTACCCTCACTAGCCTATAACTTCTATGAGGGCAGGAGTTTTTTCTGTTCTGTGTAATCCTAGCACCTAAAGCTAGGACTGGAATATAGTAGATGACCAGTAAATATTAGCTGAATGAATGGATGTTTTGCAGGCAAGTCATTATCAGCTATCTTTTGTATCAATTTCTATAATCCATGGACAAGAAAAAGGTAAACTGCAAAGGCCAGAGCAAGTGGTGTATTGGGGGAGGCAGGCAGAGATGTTGGGGGATGGGCACTTGAGGCAAAGAAATTTTCTGGACGGAGGCATGAAACAGTCTGGCTCGTCTGAGGCATGGCTAGTGCAGGGTGCAGAAGAGGAATCTGGAGAGGTCGGTAGGAGATAGATCACGGCAACCCTTGAAGGCCACATTATGACTAGGCTCATTTTAGGGATGTTGAAATGGAGAGATACTAATAACTATCAGAGGTGCGCACCGTCTGCTGGCAATGGGGACACGCCAAAGGGCTTTGAGCAGGAGATTGATAGGATGAGGTCTGGGCTTCGGTCTGCTGGCAGCAGGGAGGGTAGATGAGGCAAGCCCTCTCTTTAGCAAGGAGAGCATCCAGCGATAGAGGGCAGGGCCACAAAGCAGAGCAAAGCGGCAGTGGGATGGAGGGATCAGAAATCAGTATGCAGAAATATGATTGGAAGACAAAAGGGTATAATCTCATGGTAATAAGCTGGGGGAGAATAACAGGTCTGTTCAGATTCTTCTTGGTGTCCCTGTGTGACACTCCTTCTCTCTGGGTATAGGGCAGGACACCTGTCACATGAAGGTCTTCAGGGATAAGGTCAGAAAGTGGCCTTCCTAGGTTTTATGGCTTGCTTCAAGGGAAGAAGCGGCAGGGAATTCTAGGTTCTATGGCCAGCTTGGGGGGGAGGCAGGGAGAATGTCAGAGAGACCTTCCTGGTTCTGCAGTTTTCCCAATTTCCTTCAGCTTAAAATACTCAGCATGCCAAGGCGCCATATCTGGGGGTAGTGTTTCCTCCAGCCCAACTGTGCTTTAAACCAGAATTGTACACTAGAACTTTCTGCAAGAATGGAAACTCTGTATCTGTGCTATCCACTACAGTAGCCACTAGCCCCTGTGGCTATGAAGCACTTGAAATGTGGCTGGTTCAACTGAAGAATTGAACTGTTAACTTTGTTAATTTTAATGAGTTTAAATTGCAATAGCCACATGAGACTAGTGGCTACGACATTGGACTGTGCAGCTTTAAATGATCAATTTCTGCTAATATATACAAACTCTTTTCCTGCTAAATTGTGTATTCGTTCCCTCTGTTTTGTGCATACTTCTAAAAGGAGTTTGTGTCAGTCTAATGTTAAATTTTGCACACTTTTCACTTTCCCACATTATTTATATGATATTTATACTTTGATTTTGAATTGATATTTCCTGCACTTATAGACAAACCTGAAAAAGAATTTCTAAACAATGCCCTAATCCTAAATCACCTAAATGTGGCACAGTAAGGGAATTGAGAATGAACTGCTGAATAACATAGTGGGCAGACACTAGGGTTGATGAGGAGGAGGAACGATGATGATGATGAAGAACTAGTAAGTAAAAAGGTCCATACTGTTGTTGTTTTTGTTTGTTTGTTTGTTTTTGAGTTGGAGTCTCACTCGGTCTCCCAGACTGGAGTGCAGTGGCCGCTCCCGGCCACCGCAGTCTCGCCGCTGGGCTCCGGCGATCCTTCCGGCTCAGCCTTCCGAGTAGCCAGAATTACAGGCATGCGCTGCCACGCCCGGCTGATTTTTTGATTTATTGTAGAGATGAGGTCTCGCTGCCCAGGCGGGTCTCGAACCCGCGGGCTCAGGCAATCCACTCACCTCAGCCTCCCAAAGGCGTGAGATTACAGGCTGAGCCACCGAGCCCGGCGTTGTTGTTTTTTTTTTTAAGAAAATTTTATTTAAAAGTAAATTAGAGAGAGAGGGAGAAGGGAGAGAGAAAATTCACCTCCCCAAGTTGGGGGAGGGGGCCAAAGCCAGGAAGCATGGCAACAGCCATAGCTCAAAGAGCACATGGCCACACCAGAGTCTAGCAAGGCAATGGCCCAGGCCCATACTGTTAATATTAAGTGGGAAAGGAAAGCAGGATACAACATTGTTTATATAGCAAATTCTTGGCTGGTGCGGTGGCTCACATTTGTAATCCCAGCACTTTGGGAGGCTGAGGCAGGAGGATTGCTTGAGCCCAGGAGTTCAAGATCAGCCTGGGCAACATAACAAGACCTTGTCTCTACAAAAAGTCTAAAATTTAACCAGGGATGATGGTCTGCACCTGTAATCCCAGTTACTTGGGAGGCTGAGGTGGGAGGATCGCCTGAGCCCAGGAGGTCAAGGCTGCAGTGAGTTGTGGTTGTGCCACTGCATTTCAGCCTTGGTGACAATGAGACTCTGACTCAAAAATAAATAAAAAGGTAGTAGGTTCTCAAATATGCTTAAAAATAAACATAGAAAAAAACTGGAAAGATTTATACCAAAATGTTTTTTCTTTTTTTTTTTTTTTTGAGTTGGAGTCTT